TTGTGGACGGGGCACATCTTCTTAATATTACAGTCTTCTAGCATCTCAGATCCCCAAGTTATGAACTTACTCGGGAAGAACTTTGGCGGGCCCGTACGCGAGTACCACGTTTACCCGGAGGCCGGGTTCGAGTTCATTAATACCCACTTGTATGCGAAACACCCCTTAAAATTTCAGCCATCGAAAATCCTAATCTCCCTTGCATTAATGTGGGATTTATACATTTCAAAGAACCAAATCAATCGCTTTTAGTTTTTTTCTTAAACAACTTGTGGAAGAGGGAATTATCAAGCACTTTGGCAAATGACTAACAAGCAAAATGCTATCTCTCCAGCCACGTCTCGACCACGTCAATGTCTTTCCAAGAGGAAAACACGTGCAGGGGACTTTTAATATGTTCAAGCTAACTCAGCTTTTTTGGCATGCAGTTATCATGATATCGACGATGCCGTAGTATCCGTGCACTTCGTTACCTAGTAGTCAAAATTTGCAAAAAACGTACCTGCTGTTTATTTTTGGCCACAGATTCCTCCATTTCCTTGATCGTATTCTCGGTGTTCTGCTTGATCTTCAATTCAATGTCTTCTTTCTTTCCCAGATATCGTTGTTCATATTCTTTGAACTGGCGCTCGCGTTCCTGTAGAACACAAAGCAGATTTACTGGCATTTTTCAAATGACAACTGGGATGAATTACATCTAATGTTCATTGCATTTTAAACAGCATGATAAATAGGTAGCAGTTCGATTCTTGAAGAAACTCAGTTTTGGATTTTGGCTAAATCCCACAGCACTATCAGTGGGTAGTTAACTATATCGTATTTCAAAGCTGATAGAAGCCTTTTGACTCAAGCAGTGCTCGGCTTACCAGCGTGCTTTTTGTTCATTATCATGCACCTCTTACCTCATCTCTATTCCTAGCCCCCTTTCTCCTACGGGGACGAGGAACATTCACTTAAAATTTCAGCTTTCTTGCTTTTCTGGTTCCCAAGTTAACAATTCTTTCCGCCAAAAATTTTGACAGGCCCGTACTTGAGAACCACGCACAGCTGGCGCTGAATTCAAAGCAATATTCCTCGGAGAGAGGGAGAAAAGCTCTTGTGATCAGACCATTCATAGCAATATTGCTTCACACTTAAGCACTGTGAATGTCTGTCGCGCTTTAAAAGAATAAAAAATGTAA